GTCAACGGTTCTGGAGCTTTGTATTCCCTGAGGAAAGCCTGCAAATCTTGATTGGATTTTTTCATCTCACCCCATGTATGCTCTCGCATAACGATCACTTTGGCCCCGTGAACAGACTGTAGTTCATGCAGCTTTTCTTCACTAGCCGCATGGAGCCGTTCAAATGTCCCCCCTGTCAAGGGGTTTTTCTCATGCCCCTTATAACACGATGGACAGCCGTGATAAAAACACCCCAGAAATTCCCAGACAATCTTTACTCCCTCAACTTCAGCAAAACCATCTACGACGAAACGTCCCACTCGTTTCTCACCTTCATTCAACGCATGTTGAATAAATACCCCCTCAGTATGAGCCACCCAATCTAACCACTGGATACCAGCGCTGGAGTATGTCTTGTTTTCACGACGGTAATCATCGGGCGGGGGGATGGCTAGGGTTTTTAGAGGCAGAAAGTTTGTGGTGAAAACTTTCATACAGGCCGAAGCAATGGTCGCACGACTAAAAGGATCTACACCAGTCTCTTCAAGGAATCCTTTTCGGAATAAAGTGCAACCCCGTGCAAGAATGTCAACATCGTTTTTGCAGTAAAGCAATGCCTGCTTTCGAAAATCAAAAGTACCCGTGCGTACCGTCTCATACCATGCGAAAAAGTCACTCTTTTCATCAGTTGTCATGCGTTCAATCCCATAACAGTGTGCTGGTGGGTAAGGTCCGATATAACTCAGATTGGCCTTAGAGCTGAAACCATGAGGGAAATACCCTTTGATTTTATCTTCAAATCCCAACGCTTTGGGCATTGCGGATAGCCGCATAGAGAGGTAAGACAGAGAATCTATGTACTTTTGTCTGAAATCTTGGTCAGTAAAAGAAATCACCTTACTTCCCTGCATTATCAAAGATGGTTTTAACCCTTGTTCAATCATTGCATTGATAATGAGATAGCTGTCAAAACCCTTGGCATTGTGAGCAATGAAGGTTGCTTTCTTGAATTTGGGGCGTCTAAAGTGGGCCAGAAACTGCAGTGCACAGTCTGTGCCCTCAGCGACCCAAGTTTCGCCTGCCAGGGTTTTTGTACACACCAGGAAGGGGACATGTACACCGTCTGCCCCCGCCATTGTTTCAAAATCATAAAACACAATGTGGTCGTTGTGTTCTGTCTCTTTGGGTAGCACACCAATGTAACACAGATGTTTTACACCCTCGCCTGTAGAAGCAGCGGGCAGGTTTTCATTACATGTCTTACATTTTTTCACCTGACACTTGTGTGCTTTATCTGCACTATTCTGGGGAATGTAGTAAGAAAGTTGACAATCTACACACTTTTTGTGTAAATCGCAGTTACTGGCAATGGCTGATGCTCTCTGTGTCTGTTTTTTATGTCGAGCATGACAGCCGACCGTACGGCAAGTTTTGTTACAGTCTTTACAAAAGATGGGTTTAAACTCATCCAGAGTACATGAGGGGTCAAGACAGACAAAACAATGGCCACTACATGAATGAAACCATCGCGAGCTGTAGCCGGTGTAGCAGTGTTCACAGACAAAAGAAGAGCCTAGAAAACCCTTCAAGTTCTTAATCCCATAGTAATGGCTTTTGCAGAGAAACAAAAAAACAGTTTTATCTCTTTTGGGACCGTCTGTCTGGAATTTACAGAGGGTCCGATCTTCATTGCCTCTGTAAAACACCACAATCTTGCAATTTAGACTCTCTTCGAATTTCTCAATGTCAGTGAACGTCACCGCTGTCTGGTCTGTCAAACCCACCCCCCTCTGAATCTCTCTACCGCGTTCAATACCTTCGTTATCAGTGAGGTTGTCATGCAGCAACAGTGCTAAATTAATAGCAAAACACAGCTGGTTGTGAACAATGTAAAGAAAGCGCTTCTTCTTTTTAACAATTTCATTGTCCAACATTTTACTAGCTAATCGTTTCTCCCCACCACCCCGAGGGGAATGAACAATTTGCACCACTAATTCAAGATCGCTATCTGCCATAACAGCCCAATTTGACTGCACTGCGTTGAAGAGCGCTTCATCAAAATCATTCAGATTACTGTCGTGGTTGGCATTCAAAATGGCTGACACGTTACCTTGCAGTTGCTCCCCCCTTAACTCAATCTGTACAAGATCTTCCCTCTCTGCTAGTAAAAAAGCCTCATCCAGCATATCATGTACACTGACCATCATACTACCGTGATACGATGTGTAATCTGCCTCGGCGCTAGGACGGGGTAGGACTAAAGACTGACTCAGTTCTATGTTATTGAATACAGGTCGAGACACAACACGTGTTGAAGCATTCCGACTGTCATTAACATTTCCACCATTTTGTAACGACGGGCCTGCTAACTCGGGAGCATTCGGGATGCTGTTTTGATCATTGTGTACACCGTCTTGCACGGGGGAAACTGCTTTCAGTGCGCTATCTAATATTGTTGGGTAGCTTGAGTTTGTTTCTGAGGGGGCGCAATGGTCGTTTACATCTAGTTCTTCGTCACTCAACTCGCCAATATTGTTTGAACACTGAGGAAATGACATTTCACTATATATGTATTCATTTTCGCTTAGGGGAATTATACCATTCAAACAATGCAGAAACGACGTTTCTGCAGCTGCTAAATCACCCATGTTTGACCGTTTATGAAATCATCCCATCACAAGAAAATGGAAAGGAAATCAAAAATACATTTCTCACTGCTGAAGAAAACCACACCGCTATCAGATGGCTCCAGCTTATTCAGTTGGTGTAACCATAAAGTTGACGGTCGTAGCGCTGCGATCGTGAGGCAGATCTGTACAGAAAAGAGACAGAGAGGTAAGTATTTGAAAACACTGAAATATTACATTTAACAACAATTCATTTTGCGATCATCTTATAAAAATAACCACAAGTAATTTACCTGTATGGCAACTCGTTGTCTGGGATGGGGTCATCCAGAGCTGTTCTACGGCCACACTGAGAAGCTCAAAAATATGCCTGGCTCTCAGACTGCAGTGGTGTTGGGGGTCGCCCAGAACTGCTGAGGGGAGGGAAGATTCTATCGGGGTCGGGGGACACCCCCGATTTCACACGGCGTGTGTGCGTGTGTGTGGTGTGTGTGTGTGTGTGTGTGTGTGTGTGTGTGTGTGTGTGTGTGTGTGTGTGTGTGTGTGTGTGTGTGTGTATGTGTGTGTGTGTGTGTGTGTGTGTGTGTGTGTGTGTGTGTGTGTGTGTGTGTGTGTGTGTGTGGGAGGAACTGGCAAGAGCCATCTCGGGTCACACCTTCAAGTCTGTGCATTCTTAAGTGTTTTTACAGCTAACATCTGTGGTGAGCACATTTAAAAAATAAAAAAAATCTTCTCTTTCCTCCATACCTGCAGCTATTTCTAATCTCATATAACTTCATATAAGGATTATTTTATTAAGGGATTGATGTAATTAAACATAAAGACAAAAAACCAAACACCATGGGGTCATTAAGATCTTTAATTTAATGCCAACCTCTTCAGAGAGACTTTGTTGCATTTATTACCAGATTACCCCTTCTTTCAATAAGAGAGGCCCTTATAGTTAGTATAGTAATTAAACATTAGTTCACCATCCGTACACTTCAAGAGAGCCTCCTTAGTTATTAACCCAACTCTTATTTAAAAAAAAAAAAGGCTGGGTAGGAGGGGAATACGGGTATATATGTGTGTGTGTGTGTGTGTGTGTGTGTGTGTGTGTGTGTGTGTGTGTGTGTGTGTGTGTGTGTGTGTGTGTGTGTGTGTGGAGGGAAATCTCTCCGGCCAGAATGATATCCCCTTTAGCGCAATACCGCATCAATTGCACCTCTTATGTGACATACAAGAATAGTGTGTGACCGACAAAAGATGTCCTGTAGGGGCTGATTGTGCATGGACATAAACGCTAGTAACGTGACGGGAGAGACCCTGTGCTGTTGCTGACGGGAGAACCGGTGCTGCGGACTATTCGACATGCATCTCTGCATGCGTTGAGCGGAACAAAACACACTCGTAGATATCACACGTAGCTATTTTAATTACCTCTCAAACTACTTAAACTAGTTATAGATATGTTTTAGTTTTACTGTCGAGTCCCTCATTATTGGACCCGCGAGCTGCATGATACTGGCGTGTTGTCATGAGAGGAGGGAGAGCGCCCCCGTTTTATTATTCCCGTGTTATTGTAAATTACTGTACACGTTTGAATAGTTAATTAATCTACTATAATTAGTTTGTTTAATATCGAATCATATCTAATTTTGTCCGTAAGATTTAAACTGTAACGGCCCTGCTGACCGGACAGGAGGGGGATGAGGAGGGGGGTGGGTTGCGGGAGGTGGGGGCTGAGAGGGGTGGGGGCTGGGAGGGCGGATGTGAAACCTGCTGTAAGGGGGAGGAGGGGTGGGTTGAGAGGGTGGGGGCTGAGCGGGGTGGGGGCTGAGAAGGGTGGGGGCTGAGAAGGGTGGGGGCTACCTGAGAGGATGTAGCACCTGTATGTGAGGGAGAGGGGGGGGTGGGCTGAGGGGGGTGGGGGCTACCGGGGAGGATGTAACACCTGTACGCGATAACACCTCGAACAAAGGGGCTCATTAGCATATCAAAGGGGGGTCATTAACATAATTAGGGGGCGGGACTTAGAAGGTGTGACCTGTCACTTTTTTATGCATACTAATGAGATTGAAGCGGGATATGTAATACTACTAACGCTTGTCCATTTCTTGTCCATGAATTCATTTACCATACTAACAATATCTCAATGGATGTTTAAGAAGTTATTAGGCAGTAGCTTACATTACATTTTAAATATAGGATTTGTTCAGCTTTAGTCTGAAGGAGACAAACCTCTCTCTCTCTCTCTCTCTCTCTTTCTCTCTCTCTCTCTCTCTCTTTCTCTTTCTGAAAGAAAGAAATAATCTATCATACTCGATAAATAATAAACTAAATGTATTAACTGTGAATATTTTTCATTTATCCAACATTAAAAGACCCAAGCGAGCCAAAGTCAACTTTCTACCCAACCTTCCCCAAGGAGAGGATCCCTCAAGTCTTGAGCACTTCAGGCAGACAATTGTTGAGGAAGACTGAGATGGACCTACCCCTCATTAAAAAGATGATGCAGACCACATTTGCACTGCGGCGACAGACCATAGTGAGGACGTGCCCGCCAGTGAACGAGCTCATGGACCTCTGGCCTGCTCTCAAAATGGAGTCTGAGGTAATATGGATTAGCTCTCTTTTTCCTGTTTTCTTCTTTATTGATAACATATGGCACATTCTGTGACTCTTATAGTGGCTATTTGCTGTATATAGGAGTGTAATAGATCTTCAAAGTTCCAGCTCCTTCCCTGTGGTGTAATGTAATGCAAGGAAAAGAACAGTCCAGCTGAAGTTCTTGTTCTTGCCACAGGGAAGGAACTGACTGGTCAAACTTGGAGGATCTATTACATTTGTAAGGAGGATACCACTTTAACCTAGTTTGATTTATTTTGAACTGACTAATTGACATTGCTGTATTGTCCTACTGCTCTGTTTTTTAAATAGGTGTATGCAGAGTTCCAACGGATTACCAACCAGAATCTGCCGAACACGTTCTACGCTGCTTTTGACCGCCATCTTCCTCGACTGATGGTCATATTTAGACAGAAGGCGTCCAAAACTGGGAAGACAGCTGAGGCTTTGGCTGAAATTTTCAAAATCCACGCTGAACAGGTAAAGAGATTATTTTACAATTCAAAGGTTGAACATCTAACGTTGATAGTCGACAGATTAAAAAAATATCTTTTGAATTTTACAATTAGCCCACTTTGTTTTTGCTATTGGTCTGATTGCATTAAAGATGTGAACAGGTTATCTGTGGATATATGTTCTGATTGGATTGTTGGATTGACAGGTTTGTTCAGTAAACTCAACAGTTTGTACGCTTATATTTTTATCGTTATAGGAATTACATGACATCAACACCAGGCGTACCACCGTTATCCATGCCCTTCCTGTGTATCTGCAAGAGGACACCTCTGGATTTTTCCGAACCTGCACAGTGAGTCTCCTTAATTAATTAACAGTACCACTCTATATTAAGTGAAGAGTTCATTAAAATACAAATATTTGTTGGCACTTATCCTGGTTCTGTCTATCCATCCATATAGTTTGTGTGATTTGCAGAGGTTTTGGTCTGTTTTCCTTCACCCAAATACAAATGAACTGAATCTGTTTTTTAGTTTGAAGCGATACTGAAGTTAAGTAAAACATTTATTGGATATGTTTTATCTCCTGGCACTTGGGTTCACTGGTCGCTCGTCTGATTATTTGGTGTAGAACACCTGTTTTTCACCTTTAAATGTGTAGTCTGTTGACAAAACAACTCTCTAAAACATAGTTCTAACTAAAATATGAACAACTTAGAAAACATATCTCCAAGAGTTGCAGTCAAAAGATATTGCCACACAGAAAATCAAGATTTGCCTGTGGCGCAGTGGATAGAGCATTGGTGTTCGGATCAAGGGAGCACAGGTTCAAACCCCACTGCAGTCAGCATGTCGTTGTGTCCCTGGGCAAGACACTTCACCCCAAATTGCTCCTGTGGGGATTGCCCACAGTATTGAGTATGTAAGTCGCTTTGGATAAAAGCGTCTAACAAGTAACATGTAATGTAATGTAATGTAATGCAGCTTTAGTATCTGGTTCCGGCCATTTGTTTAAGAAATTAAAACAGTCTAATCCCTTAAGCCAGTGGTTCTCAACCTGTACCACTGGTGGTACGCGGAGGAATCTGACATATAACAAGTAACATGTAATGTAATGTAATGTAATGCATGACCAACACCCAGTTTGTGATTATTATCTCTCTTTCATTAATTTAGGAAGAGTCCGAACCAGAGCTTGGAGGTGTTGCAGTGGCCCTCCTTACTGTCATCAGTGACAATGGCACAAGTCAAGTGCAATATCAGCCTGTGACCATCTCTGTCGTCATCGAAAATGACATTGTGGTCAGCCTCCCCAGACTTGCAGATGCATTCCTGGTAATGTTTGGACTAATTTATGCACTACACCTCAGCTATCCCAAAGGACTGACAAACACTTTCGAGTTCACTCAGAAGATTTTACTTGGTCTGGAAGATCGTAAATTGTCGCCCAAGTTGCAGACCCTCAAGAATGACTTGATGATGCATGTGTAGAAATCCATCTGAAAAACAGGTGTGGAGTGCGGCATTTTAAGGCATTTTCCCTCTACTTCAAAGTGATTTCCTTCTAAAAAAAAAAATGCCTTAAAAAAGTTGCTATTTCTGATAAACCGGCATTAATAATGTGAATGTGTGTTTATGCGTTTGTTTGTTGTTGTTGCTGCACTTTAACTCATCCAGGTGAAGATTTGATACTTGTTAATGTAATTCATTTACATTTTAGAGTTTTACAGTTAAAGGGTTCAGACTGTCATTGTGATTTGAAGTTGTTGCCCTGTTGCCCTATTCAGGTTTTAACCAAAATGTGCCAGAAGTACAATTGCCTTTGCATTTTTTTTATTTTTTTTTATGATTACTTATTTTACTGTCTTGTAAATGTTAACAGGACAGCATGTTAAATAGGAGGGCTAGAAAATAAGACATTTACTAAAGCTGTTCAAGTTAGTCGCACTCGATTTAATTTAGGCAATCAGTTGCCTCAATGTTTTTAAGTTTTAAGTTATGTGATTTTGAGTTGACTAAGTCAATGTGTTTGGTTTGGTTGAAATAATAAATATTGAGGTCTGTTAACCCAAAAAAAAAGACTTTGAGTACTTTTTTTTAAAGTTCTGGTAACTTAATCCATTAGTAGAGGTGCATTCAAATGTTTAAGTCACGGTACCTGAACATATTAAAGTTGAATTAATAATAAATATTGAGTTCTGTTTACCCAAAAAAGACTGTTTGAGTACTTGTTTTTTTAAGTTCTGGTAACTTAATCCATTAGTAGAGGTGAATTCAAATGTTTAAGTCACAGTACCTGAATATATTTGAGTTGACTTAATAAGCCATTTTTAAATTGACTGTAATCAATAGGTACATATAGCATTTAATCCAATCATTTAAGTTCTTGAAAATTGTAAATTTTGAGTTCATTAACTTAAAATACTAAAGGCAATCAGTTGCCCTAATTTTTTGGAGTTAAGTTTACTTATTGGGGCTTACAGTGTAATTGTAAAAGCTTTGGGTCAGTAGGGTCCTTGTCCTTTCCATCCTTATTCAGAAGGAAACACGTTCACAAGACTAAGCATCCATTATCGAAAATGTTAAATTGCTTAACTCTTTAGTGCCAAAGTGGACACTATATTGTGTCGCAAGAAGCTTTTGCAAACATTATTGCAATACCGAGTCTTGACAACTTTTTGGTTTCAATTAACACCTTTGGGTATCTGGAACCTTTATGAAAAAACAAGTATATGCGGACTTTGTTTTTATTTAGCCCAAACCAGTTCATTTTTTTTCACCTCTATTCTGCCCGGCAACAGTCGAAAAATAGTCATATCAAGTAAAGCAACACAACACAAATAACCTGGGTTTGGAACAGTAACATAATATTGTTAATATTGTGAAAAAAAGTCATCTTTTTCAATGATTACAGTTTTTTTCAGTTGCTAACACACTAAAATGACACGTACAGCACATGGTTAAAACACACCTGTTAGCTATCCTGGTTCCAAAATCCAACATGTAAGCTGCTGAAATGTCGGTTCTCCCAGGTTCCAAATGTTCAAACAATCCGTCATCCACATTTTTGACAGCGTTGGATTCAAAGAGGTGAGCAGAGTGGCGCAGCGGAAGTGTGCTGGGCCCATAACCCAGAGGTCGATGGATCGAAACCATCCTCTGCTAATTGTAAAAGCATTGGGTCAGTAGGCTCCTTGACCTTTCCATCCTTATTCAGAAGGAAACACGTTCACAAGACTAAGCATCCATTATCAAAAATGTTAAATTGCTTAACTCTTTAGTGCCAAAGTGGACACTATATTGTGTCGCAAGAAGCTTTTGCAAACATTATTGCAATACCGAGGCTTGACAACTTTTTGGTTTCAATTAACTCCTTTGGGTATCTGGAACCTTTATGACTTATTCAAGTAGGCCAAAGAGAGAGCATATCTGTGCTACAATAAGGCACTGCTGGGATTTGAACCCAGGATCTCCTGTTTACTAGACAGGCACTTTAACCAACTAAGCCACAGCACCCTTTTAAATAGCTCTTCTTTTGAATCAAAGTAGGGGATATTCCAGTTTGCTTTACCTGTGGAAGGAGGTAAAACAACCCGGGGAAGTGCGAGGGGCTGTTCATTAATGGGTCAGTTAATTAATGAACATTTCTGAGTTTTATTTTTCAGGCAAAATGTACTGGAGAATTGTCTTTTTCAGTCAGGATGGCCGAGCTGTCTAAGGCGCTGCGTTCAGGTCGCAGTCTCCTCTGGAGGCGTGGGTTCGAATCCCACTTCTGACAAATGGTGTTTTTCACTGTGACATTCAGTGAGACATGATCTTGGGAAAGAAATGTAAGCATATTGTTACAAGACAGCCCATGACCAAATCCAGTGTTGCAAGAGCTGTATTGGTTAAATGCTGCTGCTGACTTGGTTACTACAAAAAAAAGACACAGAAAAACCTTCAAGGATCGACAAGGTGACTCTAAATAGACCGAGAAAAACAAGTATATGCGGACTTTGTTTTTATTTAGCCCAAACCAGTTCATTTTTTTTTCACCTCTATTCTGCCCGGCAACAGTCGAAAAAATAGTCATATCGAGTAAAGCAACACAACACAAATAACCTGGGTTTGGAACAGTAACATAATATTGTTAATATTGTGAAAAAAAGTTATCTTTTTCAATGATTACAGTTTTTTTCAGTTGCTAACACACTAAAATGACACGTACAGCACATGGTTAAAACACACCTGTTACTTATCCTGGTTCCAAAATCCAACATGTAAGCTGCTGAAATGTCGGTTCTCCCAGGTTCCAAATGTTCAAACAATCCGTCATCCACATTTTTGACAGCGTTGGATTCAAAGAGGTGAGCAGAGTGGCGCAGCGGAAGCGTGCTGGGCCCATAACCCAGAGGTCGATGGATCGAAACCATCCTCTGCTAATTGTAAAAGCTTTGGGTTAGTAGGGTCCTTGTCCTTTCCATCCTTATTCAGAAGGAAACACGTTCACAAGACTAAGCATCCATTATCGAAAATGTTAAATTGCTTAACTCTTTAGTGCCAAAGTGGACACTATATTGTGTCGCAAGAAGCTTTTGCAAACATTGTTGCAATACCGAGGCTTGACAACTTTTTGGTTTCAATTAACTCCTTAGGGTATCTGGAACCTTTATGACTTATTCAAGTAGGCCAAAGAGAGAGCATGTCTGTGCTACAATAAGGCACTGCTGGGATTTGAACCTAGGATCTCCTGTTTACTAGACAGGCACTTTAACCAACTAAGCCACAGCACCCTTTTAAATAGCTCTTCTTTTGAATCAAAGTAGGGGATATTCCAGTTTGCTTTACCTGTGGAAGGAGGTAAAACAACCCGGGGAAGTGCGAGGGGCTGTTCATTAATGGGTCAGTTAATTAATGAACATTTCTGAGTTTTATTTTTCAGGCAAAATGTACTGTAGAATTGTCTTTTTCAGTCAGGATGGCCGAGCGGTCTAAGGCGCTGCATTCAAGTCGCAGTCTCCTCTGGAGGCGTGGGTTCGAATTCCACTTCTGACAAATGGTGTTTTTCACTGTAACATTCAGTGAGACATGATCTTGGGAAAGAAATGTAAGCATATTGTTACAAGACAGCCCATGACCAAATCCAGTGTTGCAAGAGCTGTATTGGTTAAATGCTAAATGCTAAATGCTGCTGCTGACTTGGTTACTACAAAAAAAAGACACAGAAAAACCTACAAGGATCTACAAGGTGACTCTAAATAGACCGAGAAAAACAAGTATATGCGGACTTTGTTTTTATTTAGCCCAAACCAGTTCATTTTTTTTCACCTCTATTCTGCCCGGCAACAGTCGAAAAATAGTCATATCGAGTAAAGCAACACAACACAAATAACCTGGGTTTGGAACAGTAACATAATATTGTTAATATTGTGAAAAAAAGTCATCTTTTTCAATGATTACAGTTTTTTTCAGTTGCTAACACACTAACATGACACGTACAGCACATGGTTAAAACACACCTGTTAGCTATCCTGGTTCCAAAATCCAACATGTAAGCTGCTGAAATGTTGGTTCTCCCAGGTTCCAAATGTTCAAACAATCCGTCATCCACATTTTTGACAGCGTTGGATTCAAAGAGGTGAGCAGAGTGGCGCAGCGGAAGCGTGCTGGGCCCATAACCCAGAGGTCGATGGATCGAAACCATCCTCTGCTAATTGTAAAAGCTTTGGGTCAGTAGGGTCCTTGTCCTTTCCATCCTTATTCAGAAGGAAACACGTTCACAAGACTAAGCATCCATTATCGAAAATGTTAAATTGCTTAACTCTTTAGTGCCAAAGTGGACACTATATTGTGTCGCAAGAAGCTTTTGCAAACATTGTTGCAATACCAAGGCTTGACAACTTTTTGGTTTCAATTAACTCCTTAGGGTATCTGGAACCTTTATGACTTATTCAAGTAGGCCAAAGAGAGAGTATGTCTGTGCTACAATAAGGCACTGCTGGGATTTGAACCTAGGATCTCCTGTTTACTAGACAGGCACTTTAACCAACTAAGCCACAGCACCCTTTTAAATAGCTCTTCTTTTGAATCAAAGTAGGGGATATTCCAGTTTGCTTTACCTGTGGAAGGAGGTAAAACAACCCGGGGAAGTGCGAGGGGCTGTTCATTAATGGGTCAGTTAATTAATGAACATTTCTGAGTTTTATTTTTCAGGCAAAATGTACTGTAGAATTGTCTTTTTCAGTCAGGATGGCCGAGCGGTCTAAGGCGCTGCGTTCAGGTCGCAGTCTCCTCTGGAGGCGTGGGTTCGAATTCCACTTCTGACAAATGGTGTTTTTCACTGTAACATTCAGTGAGACATGATCTTGGGAAAGAAATGTAAGCATATTGTTACAAGACAGCCCATGACCAAATCCAGTGTTGCAAGAGCTGTATTGGTTAAATGCTAAATGCTAAATGCTGCTGCTGACTTGGTTACTACAAAAAAAAGACACAGAAAAACCTACAAGGATCTACAAGGTGACTCTAAATAGACCGAGAAAAACAAGTATATGCGGACTTTGTTTTTATTTAGCCCAAACCAGTTCATTTTTTTTCACCTCTATTCTGCCCGGCAACAGTCGAAAAATAGTCATATCGAGTAAAGCAACACAACACAAATAACCTGGGTTTGGAACAGTAACATAATATTGTTAATATTGTGAAAAAAAGTCATCTTTTTCAATGATTACAGTTTTTTTCAGTTGCTAACACACTAACATGACACGTACAGCACATGGTTAAAACACA